AGAACAGATGATCTATTTGAGTTCAAGTAATTCAAAATGTATAAATGCAAGTCCTGAGCAACATCCGAATAAACTACTGCAATGCTGCAACATTTCTGATCAGAGGAATCATCCACATCTTAAAGGGACAGTTCACTCAAAAATCCCTCAAACACACACGACTTTCGTTCTTCTGTGAAACGCAAAAGAGGTTTAGAATAATGTGCCTGCTGCTCTTTTGCATTCACTTACATAAGAGCATTGTAACAGTAGTCCATACTGTACACACTACTTCAGCTGCATGGCAAAAATTATTTGGCAGTTCATCAAAATATCATATTTACCATCTCATATAGACTGACATAACCATAGCACATTCATCACTGCTGTTCGGTAAGGCAAGCATTACTATGGGTACAGGTATATAGTATACAATGTAGTATACACTAGACTGTCTAATGTTTATTTTTAGATAGATAGATAGATAGATAGATAGATATGGTTCATTTGTCACACTGGAAATAGATCAAGCCGGCCTGAATTGCATTGTGGGATACTCTGTGCAGTGTGCTCTGCTGAGACTTCAGGTGGGCTCTTTTGATTTGGGACAGTACACAAGCATCAAGGACATGTTCCTGGCTGATACAGGTAATGCAGTGAAATACGTCAAATGTACCGGAGAGTCTCTTTGGTTAATGACGCTAGTGTTTTAGTAAGTGGGCAGGACTTGTCAATAATCATCTGTCAGTCGTTCTCCTCCCAGTTGAGCCTTGGTTAAAGATAAAGTGTGTAACCTCAATGCTTCTAGAAGAACTGCAAACATTTTCAAACTGTTATCCATTGGTGAGAATGCATGAGATGGGGAAGCATGACGGGGCGTCTGAGGACTGACGTATTGATCCAGCGTCTCTACAGCAGAACAGCTTCAGAAGGGCTGACTATGCAAACTCATCTGTGCTATCTGCCTCATGTACTGTACCGTGTCAAAGCATGCACGCAGATCTGAAAAACACATGAAATATTAAATATGTTGTCTAAGCTGGTCCACAGAATTCATCTCCTCATGCTATGAATCTGCACATTTAGTTCAGAAGCTGCACTACTAGAGATTTGTTACATTTACCTATGTGTATTTGCTATTGATTGTTGATTTTATAGTTATTTATATTGATGTGTATAATGAAACATTTAATATCATTTAATATCACATTTCATTTTTGGATGAACTGTCCCTTTAAAGCCGTTATAAAATAGCCACAAACATTCAACCTTTGCTTGTGTCAAAAAAACTGAATCCCAATGATCATACTGGTTATGTACACCTTGGATGCACTGTAAATCACTATCAATAAAAACATCTGGCATTTGCATAAACGTTAATCTTAATGTTTACTTACAAGCACAATTTTTGCAATGTAAAGGTTTCACACAACTTATAATGGCTCGAATAACTTAATTTCATCTCACTGCAGTATGACTTCACAATAAGGACAGCTGTTCAGATGCCATTAATAAAGTATTATACAACAACTGCATGAATCATATTTCATTCAGTGAATCATGTACTATAAATGATAAATGATGATTTATGGCAGTTTAAGAGAGATTAGCCCATTTCTAGCACAGCAATGCAGTTCATTTACAGACTAACATGACAACTACTGTACTGATACTGTACATGTTTCTCATCCTCACATGAAGCTGACAGTGTTTGGGAAGCTGCTCTGAACCCGTATCTCACGGAGTTACAAGGTACTCTATGAAAAAGTATTTTTAACTGATTGCTCAAATGAATGGTCTGTGCATATTGAATCAAACTTTCAGACTCCTGTTGTTTGGCTGTAAAGCTGCAGGCAAAACTCACTGTGACTGGAAAAACAAGCCTGTTACCACAAAAGCTAAAACCAGCTACTACACTCACACTACTAAACAATGTTGCTAGTTAGCAGTCTGTCTACTGATCAGTGTGTACAGACAAACAGCACTGACTATTTTCATAGTATTGCACTTTCATCACTGCTAAAGTCTGGATTTAGAGTAAATGAGTAAATGATGAGTAAATGATTTTTCAGTTGTGTGTGAATAGTTCTACTATAGGTTTACTCACAGAAGACAAACCAATTTGTCTGCCTGTTTCATTGCCATTAAACAAAATGCAATGCTCTAAGCCCTCGGGCCCCAAGTCCTCCTCCGAGGCCACGCTTTGGTGACGTAATGCCGCATAGGCTGTGGGGTAGTGGACCGCTGTTGGGCTCGACTACAGGACACTTGAGGGGGTGCTCGTGAGCAACCTGCTGGGACATGATGTTCACTGTAACAACGCAAGATCAAGTGCAACATTTGGGACAGAGTCTATGAGATTCCAACAACTACATGACATTCATGTAACAAACCAGAGCTGAATGCATCAGCAAGAATGTAGGTTTGCGGCTGAACACATGATTCTGAGGCTGATAATGTGTGAAGAACAGCATCTTGGGATGTGTGTGAGGGGAGAAGCTGTCAAACATCTGCTGCTGTGCTATGATGAGGTGATATATGAAAACAACACTTGCAAAAGCGACTGCTGTTAAATCCTGAAACGCTTATGTGACTAAAAACACAGGACTTACAGTGCGCAGAACTCACTGCCACTATGCCAGGATGTTGTTATGCGGTGGCTATGTGCTCTGAGGGTGTTTTAGTTGCTAGCTGTTGTTAAGGTGGTTTCTAAAGGCCCAGGTATACTTCATTTTCTGCGTTCTGCAACACATGCGCAGTACAATAGCTTTTTATACTCTCCCAGGCATCAGAGGGCAGCACTGAGTCATGCCATTCACAGGACATTCGAAAAAGAAAAATAGAGAATCTGCCATTTAATGCAAAGTTAGAACAAAAAATGAAGCAAAATATATGCTATGTGTTTTTCTTCTATTTAGTTTTGTATTGTACTCTTCTTCAACTAATGTACAGTACAACACAACTGTGCATATTGCCAGTCACCTTGCGTATGCGCTGTTGTACGTGCAAAGCAGATGGTCGAAGTATACTTTAGGCTTAAAGTCCCCATGTAATAAAAATTACAAAAGGTGTTAGTAGCAATATGTTAGTCTTAAGGTTATCTATAAGGCAGTGTGCTCCAAAACAGTGACAAAATTCGCATTTAGAAGATATAAGCATTCAAAGCTTGCAGTTCGTCACTTCCGCCAAAACGGCTCAACGATTTTTTTTGACGTCACATCGTACTTCAGCTTCTCATCAAACTTTCTGTCCAATCAAATGCTTTCTAGAATCCGAAGCGCCCGCCCCCTACACTATAAAATATACGCTGAAGCCGCGGCTGAAATCGGTCACTAAACGAACGCTATTGGCTATTTTAAAAAGGGGCGGGGCTGCTTGATATGTCCCGCCCTGTCTTCCTGTTTCAGTTAAAATGACGTCAACACAGAGTAACGCTGCGTGTTTCTAAGCATTTCAGGGGACCTTTAAGTGTTTTCAATCTATCTAGCATGAAAGTCTCTGAGATGTTCTGGTTTCTAGGGTCCCTACTTCAGGATGACACACGCTGAAGTTTAACATTATGCACTCTAATAGCGAAAAAGCTACATTATTGAATGTCTGCTATTTCTATTTACAATTCAAACAATGTATAATGATCAGCATTGTACTGTATTTCCAGTCTTTTAGAGCTTGAATGTATCTAACTATATGAAATGCATCTGATTTTTTTTTTTTTTACAGAATTGATGCAACACAGCGATTCATTATGGGCCTATAATAATGAAGCATGCCTTAGCCAGGTTTATTTGTATTGAATGGCGGTAGATCACAAAGCTGCCCCCCACCCACTCAAAACCCTGCAGTCCCTGAGCTAATGATTAATACTGTACTCTGTGCACAAACACAAAGACAAGCTGTGAATAAAAGATAAAAAGATCCCTACAGGATAACGCAAACCATTTGACCTCATCCGCGGCGTGTTCACTCCGTGTGACAGACGATCCGGCACCGCAGGCTGCACTTCTGTCTGTCACAGCCCGGCTGTGGGCTCGTGAGCGTCCGGCACATGTGCGCGGGGATGACGCATCAGAATGCAACATGCACTAACCTGATCCCCTACAGATACAATCATACACCCCCACACACGCGGGTAATGAGCGAGTCTCCCGCTACCGGGCATGATGAAGGACGAGCCACAGCAGCAGAAGTCAATTTCTGCAGTAATTAGAGCAGACACACATTTACAGCTGAAGCACTTGTGCATATGACACCTACTGCACGACTAAAATGCAGAGCATGCAGTTGTCTACCACTTATGAAATCAGCTTAACCTGTTTAGATATTACATTGCTGTATAAAAATTCAATATGTTTTCAAGTACATTTTTCAACATCTTCATAACAAGTTTGCTGTAATAGTACCTTTCAGCTAAGATTTTAGTACATAATGATCCACAGCACTACTGTCAATGTCACTGACGTCGGTACAGATGAGATTCCCCTTGTGTTCTTACCTAGCCCATCCACCACTTCCCAAAAAAAAAAAACTCGTTTGTCGCAGTGAAGCTACTACTCTGGAGGTCAACGCCATACATCTTTCCCTGACCGCGTCAAAAAGCTACATCCGCACGACAAACTTTACACCGCCTGACTTACTCTGAAGCGGTTTAACTCAACAGCGTCAGGAACCGTCCCCGTCGCCGCTCGGCAGTAAGATCTGTCTGCGCTCAGGCGGATCTGAGGGCACCCATGCAGAAGAGCTTTGACATAATCCCATTCAACTGTAACTGGAGCTTCCAGAGGAGAAAAAACAGCCGTGACACTGGTCAGGAGCTCCGCGGGCTCGTTTGAGACACAGGGAGAAACCTAATGTGTCCCCACCTGCCAGCATGTCAACCTTCTGCATTTGAAGGGCAGAGACACACACATGCATTTCAGCACAGCTGCTCCACGTTCCTGCACGCCGCACTGAGGATCGCCGCCACAAACATGCATTAACCGTAAAACGATGCGGCACTAGTAGCATATGTGAGTTTTACTTACTGAACCAGACGATCATGTCAAATCCACAACGCTGTGAGTCACCCTTCAGCATCTGTACCGAGAGACGCGCACACACACAGCCTCAACCATACTACACAACACACTGACGGAGAGAGAGAGAGAGAGAGGAGGGAGGGAGTGAACCCTGCAGAACACAGAGAGAGAGACATGAAGAGATGGGAACAAGATTAGATAGATGATAGATAGATAGATAGATAGATAGATAGATAGTAGGGATGGGAGATATGGGCTTAAAAAAATATCACAATATTTCTGGTATTTATTGTGATAACGATATCAATGACGATAATTCAGGGAATCCTGTTTCTTTAGAGAAAAGTATTATCTTTCCTTTTTTTACCAAAAATAGCATTAATGAGTACACACGTAATGTAAAGACTGTTTAATTAATACTGGAAGCCGGAGGGCGCTCTTGCACAGAAACTCCACATATCCATAGCAGAAGTAATACTACTGACGACGCTCCAGGAAGGTATCCAGTTATCGCTGAATAAAACGCACAACGAGAAAGAGACATTTTAACTGATGAAACTTGAGGAAAATAAACATACGATTGCACAAAATATATGGTTTATCTGTGTTCTTCAATCTTGGGTATTTTTATAAGGAAAGTATATTTATAATGCAATGTTAATCGACATGGCCTTTATCACTGTATATAATACTATCATTCTGTAATATGAAACCACGTCTGGTCACAAAAAGAAGTATTTCAAACACTCGACTATGTTATTAAGTTAATTTGGAGAAAAAGCATGTCAATAAATGATATCTTTGTTGGACATCAGGTTTGTAAACAGGCTCATACACATGCAAAACTGTATCGCACACGTGCTACTGTAGTACATTTATTCAGACTGATTTTTTGTGCACTGTACAGCCCTAACCAAACCAGTTACAGATTGTAGAAGGAGCTCGAGCTCCTCATTTAGCGATATAGGCTTCTCCTCCTCAATTTCACGTCCGCCTTCCGCGATGTCGCTCCTCACTGTCGCACACAGAAATATGTCAACAACTAGACTTTATCGTTATTATCGCAGGAAGACTAATTCTTATCGTGGGGAGAATTTTACCGGTATATCGCAAACGATAAGATATCGCCCATCCCTAATCCAAACCAAACACCTCATCCATCAATCCATTACCAAAATCCATATCCAAACCAAACAATTCATCCATCCATCCAAAACCAAACACCTCATCCATCCATCCATCCATCCATCCAAAACCAATCAAACACCTGATTCATCTATCCAAAACCAATCAAACAATTAATCCATCCATCCATCCAAAACCAATCAAACACCTCATCCATCCAACAATCCATCAGCAAACACATCATCCAAACCATACTCAGGGCTGTACAGTGCGACATATATGTCGCACGTGCTACGAAAAAAATGGTCTGTGCGATGAATAAATTTACCACTGTAGCACGGGTGCGATACAGTTTTGCATGTTCATAACACAGCCGCTTAATAGT